GGGTGGGAGGGCATATAACATCAATAAGGGTACCTGATCTCAAACCAGGCGAAGTGGGGACCAAAGGGAGGCCCAAACTTTACCTGTACTATGACCACTTGTATACCTAATCCTGAATTGTACCCCACATCTTTAAATTTTAAAAAAAAATCTATTCTTTTCAAATGCCATACATTTTACCAGTGTTCCTAGCACATTGCTGTTTGAAAAATTAACCTACACTGAGCCTTAAAAGTTCCTGCTGCTCAAAGCAACTTGTAGTGATCCATTTTGTTGTAAGAACCCTTTGGACATGTCAGTAATCACCTCCTAAATTGTGTGATTTATAGTTCGTTTTTTCACATATCGGTTTTGTCTAAAGCAGGAAGGGCTGGTATATATCCTTTAGTAGATCCTGTTCCAATCATCTATAACCCACACTCTCCCCACCTACCAACTAAAAGGCTAGAAAGACAGCTAGTGCCCTCTTCTGGGAGTTTGGGGCTGTAGCATACATTGCGCACACCAGGGGGCATTTCCAGGAACCAATCTTGTTAACTTCAAATTTGGTATTAAGAATGGGGTTGGTTTTTGGATCTTTCTCTGAGATTATAAATTGTATTTTTTTCTGAAAATAAGAAAGGTGATTTATTCAACCAGATGAGTCTCTTGAAACCGTGTTGGGTAGAGGGATGGAATAAAAATTTTGAACTTTGGAAGGGTGCTGAGAAGATACTTCCTTCAGTCAGATATATTTTGCATATACTTTGAAATTGTAGGCTATTAATAATAAAATTGAGCATTTATCGAGGATTAACTTTGTGCTAAATGCTTTATTTACATTATCTCATTTAAATTTCGCTACTATCTTAGAAGTATAAACAATATCCCCAATTTACAGTTAAGAAAACTGAGATGCAGAGAGGTTAAGCGACAGTCCAAAGAAATGACATAAGCAGGAATTCAAACGCAAATCATGCTCTTTTCAATGTAACATGTTGTCTCTTTCTACTTCTTTTGACTCTGTATCAAAATCTCACTACTAAAAGAGATGTCAAGAAAATTTTCTTATTCTTATTTCTTGTCATATGTAACCCCAAGTATCACTGAAACATCATTAAAAACCATGCCCAATACTCTTATATGGATCTCTTACTAGTTGTCCTGACATCTTATTTTTTTATTTAGCTGTGTGGAATAAAAAGATAGGAAGTTTAAATTAGTAACAGAGCAAAGAGGATGTTGGGAGACAATGAAAGGGTTAAGAGAGGAGGGAGGAGTTGTGTGGACCAGGAATACAGAGGCTCCCTGGCTGCTTCTCCACAATTCCTGAGGCCAAAACTAGTGCTTCAGGCTGAGCCCCAGCTTTCTGGGGGAATTCAACTTGCATCAAGTGTAATAATAACTAATCTATATCTAGTACTTCCTTTGTGCCTGGTACTCTTTTAAATCCTTCACACATATTAACTCATTTAATGCTCACAAAATTCCTCTGTATATATTGGAAAATTGGAGTGGAAAGACACTTTGATTTCTATTTTACAGATGGGGAAACTGAAGCACAGAGAAATTGAGTAGTTTGTCCAAGGACAGGCTAACAAGGGCTAGAGCTAGAATTTAAACTTAGGGATTTGGCTTCAGAGCTGTATTCTCACCCACCATGATATACAGTTGGTCCTTGAACAACATGAGTTTGAACTGCATGGATCCATTTACATGCATAGTTTTTTCAGTAAATATAATAGAATTTTATTTCAGAGATTTGCAACAATTGGAAAAAACTTGCAAACGACCTGTGTAGCCTAGAAATTTCAAAAAATTTAAGGAAAAGTTAGGTATGTCATGAATGCATAAAACATATGTAGCTACTAGTCTATTTTATCATTTCCTACCCTAAAATATACACGTCTATTATAAAACATTAAAATTTACACATACATTTACAGACCATACATGGCATCGTTCAGCCTAGAGAAATGCAAACAAATGTAAACTAGCAGTATTAAATCATAACTGCATAAAATTATGCACCTACCTCCCATTGCTTTTGTGATGAGCTCAAGTGTTGAGAGTATCTGTTTAAAATGCTACCATGTGACGCCAATCATCTCCACGTGAACAGTGCACTCCTCAATAAATTGCGTATTGCAGTATAAAGAAATCTCTCACAGTTCTCCCATATGCTTCATAGTGTTTAGTGCAATAGTGTAAACCCTGCATAATTCAACACCATGGGACCCATATGTAGTGCCACCATTGATGCTGGAAGTCATGGTATTTCAAGAAAAAGTTGAATTGCTTGACATGTATCATAGGCTGAGATCTGCACCTGTGGTTGTCCACCATTACAGACAGACGGTGTAAATTTACAGTATTGATAAATGCAGTACACTACTGTAAATGTATTTTTCTTGCTTATGTTTTGTTTAAAAATCATGTTCTTTTCTCTAGCTTACTTTATTGTAAGAATACAGTATATAACATATATAACATACAGAATATGTGTTAATCCATTACTGGTTATCCACTATTGGTTAAGGCTTCTGTTCAACAATAGGCTGTTAGTTCTGTCATCCCCCCCATATATGTGGGAGATTGAGTCCAGGAACCCTTGCAGATAACAAAACCTGTGCAGCCTTCAAAACCGAGGATACAAAAGTTGACCTTCCTAGATATGAGTTTCGCATCCTTCAAACACTGTAATTTTATCCATGTTTGGTTGAAAAAAACAGCGTATAAGTGAAGTTCAAATCCGAGTTGTTCAAGGGTCAACTGGAGTTAAGTTTTTGGGGAGTCAAAAGTTATACATGAATCTTTGACTTCGCAGAAGTGGAGTAGGGAAGGTGTTAGCACCCTTAATCCCTGCATTCTTCAAGGTTTCAAGGTCAACTGTATTGCCTCCTCTAATATGTTGTTAATGATAAGTACTGTTTCAGAACATATTTTCTTCAGGTGTGTGTGTGTGTGTGTGTGTGTGTGTGTGTGTGTGTGTGTGCACATGTGTGCACTTGTGTTTATATTGGGTTGCAATGTAAAATGTGTTTTTGTGAGTCTCTTACCAAAATGTCTAAAAGTTCTACTGATTTAGCAATGGCATTGCTGAATTATGTATCTTCAACTGTACCAGAGATAATGCCAGATTGCTCTCCAAAACCATTATAACAAATTACATTCTCATCAGTAGTGTAAGAGAGTTACTTATATTCTATATCCTCACCTGAACACATTTTTAATGTGCTGTTGATTCAGCGGGTATGGAGTCATATCTTATATGGTTTTCAGTTGGATTTTTCTGATTTGTTACATCTTTTCATACATTTTGGCCACTTAAATTTTGCCTGCTGTGAATCATCTGTTTATATCCCTTACTTATGTATATTACTGCATATGACACAAATGTAGACAATACAACCCTCATAAAAATTCTCTGAAGGAGCCAGCAGCATAGATGAGAAAAAGTAAGGATGGTAAAAACCTTGCTTAAAGTCATCTAGCTAAGGAGTTGTTGAGCTGAGATTTGAGGCAAGGTCTAGAGGACCCTTAAGTCCATGGTATTTGTTTTACAATACATGCCAGGACCCAAGGTCATATTCAAAAAAAGAGAAAGGGAACAAATAATTTCAAACATGCAACCATATATCTTGTTTCTAATTAGGCTTTGTGCAGTGAACATAGATTATTTCCTTGTGTCCTTACAACAACCAATGAGGTAAAGTGTTACTTCCATTTTACAGGTGAGGAGCCTGAGGCTTAGAGAAGTGAATAAATTTGCCTCGGAAAGGTTGAATTATGGCTAATTAGAGACAGAATCACAACTCAAACACATATCTGAGTGATTACAAAACCCATGCCTGTTCCACAATAATGTTCTCTGTCCATAGATATTCTCGGTATAAGGTAAAGGCCTTCCACAAATCAGAACTGACTCATCTCCTAAAGCAAGGTCCTAAACTCCTTTCCCACCTTCTTTCCAGAGGCCCAATAAATTGCCTCTACTTGGGCAAGAACTACACCTACCATCTTTCTGCAGAATCTTGGCCTGGGGCAGCCTTAACCAACAGGACTAGCTCTGCTGCCTTCCATTAACCCTCTAGATTAGGTGAGTTCCCACAGATTCATCTTCCACTGCTCAGGCTTCCCTCGTGAAGCTCACTTAGGACCTCAACACCTTCCATGGTGAACCAGAAAATTCTGAGTCAGAGTCCTCAAATGTGGTTGCACATTAAAATCACCTGCAAACTCTAAAAAATCCTGGTGCCCTGGTAACACCCCAGACCCATCACATCAGAATCTCTGGGGATGGTACCCAGTTATTCAAACTAAAGCTCCCCAGGTGATCCCAATGTACAGCCAAGATTGAGAATCACTGTTAAGGCATCTTCTTCAAGCTCCAGCAGCCATATTCACACAATAATATCTACCTTTTAGTGTTCGTAGGAACTTCTTGGAGTACTTGTTAAGATCCAGATTTCTGGTCAGTACCCTCAGAGAATCTGTGTTTGGGTTTGGACCCAGGAATCTGCATTCTCAACAATCATCTCAGATAGTTTCATTGCAAATTATGAGCAGGCCATATTTTGGGAAATGATGCATTAGAGGCATAGAAGGAGGATGGGAACAGAAGGTCTCTGGCCCTTTAAGGACTGATTAAGGGACGACTTTTAAGGCTGTGCAGCTGAGTAGAGGGGGCTGTTTTTTTCATTCTAGTTGACAAGGCAAGGGAGTGGATACTGAAGTGGACCTCTCCTTTTAAGTTACTTCAGCCTCTCAATAAGTACTATCTTGTTCTAGAGAGCAGGAGGGGTATGCTGCCTTATCCTCCCTTCTGTTTCTGCTTATTTTGATGCTAAAAGGCCAAGTCAGGAGATATCTTTTGGCCCAGGAGATCCTCCCAGACAAAGCAACATAGGCCCTGCCTGCCCTTGTTGTTGGTTTTTTTTTTTTCTTGCACCACCCTTGGTTGTGGAGCCAGGATGCAGTTACCTGCATGAAAGGAACAGGTCAGAGTGACGTCTTTGGGCCTGTGTTGGAGCCTGTTGCTGAACACCAAGTCTTTCAAGATGGTCCTCTTCAGTATCCTTAGGATTCTTCTTCTTTGGAAACTTGTGCTTATCATAGAACACGGGGCTCAAATGGCAAAGGCAGGGCAGCCCTCTATTGCCCTCCTGACTGAGGCTCCTACCTTGCCCCTGATCCGGGAGCTGCTAGAAGAAGCCCCTGGTAAACAACAGAAAAAGCCACAGCTCCTAGGGCATCCACTGCGGTACATGCTGGAGTTGTACCAGCGTTCAGCTGACTCACATGGGCACCCTAGGGAGAACCGCACCATTGGTGCCACCATGGTGAGACTGGTGAGGCCCTTGACCAATGCAGCAAAACCTCGCAGAGGTGAGTTATTGTACTCTCATACTGCCCTGGAGGGGGAGAAGTGAGGAAGGGTGTTTTTTGTTGTTTTGTTTTGTTTTTTAAAAAAGGAATCTGTGGGTTTGTTAGGCTTCATTGCCTTGTGGACATGTCGTTTTCTCAGGGTTAGTTTTCAAAGGATGGCAAACCAGAGAGAGGGTAGTTCCAAGCCTAATTCCCTTTAGGGTCCTAACTTAAGAACAGATTGCCTTGGGACCTACTGAGAAATCTTTTCCAGGCCCCTGTACAACTGAGTGATGTGTCAGCCCCCATCTTTCAAAGAAACTCTCATTGCTTGTTATAGCTCTGAAAATTCTAATTGAGAAACACCCAGTTGCATTCTTGTGGAGGGCTATTTATGTGGTGTTTCACTTTTAGAAGGTAAAGCGTGCAGGATGCTGAACTGAAGCTTACAAGGCATCAGAAAACAAATAAGCTAACATCTGAGGGTCTGTATACCTGACTCTGTTAGTATCTGCTATTTTACTTCATCCTTAATGACAGCTATTATCATGAGCTGTCTTGAGGCAATTAGCCCAATTTTTAAAGATAAGAAAACTAAGGCATGGAGAGGTTAAGCAATTTACAGACGTCACACAGACAGTGGGTTGCGGAGATGGGTTTTGAGTTCAAGTCTATCTGATTCTAAAGTCTAACCCTAATTTCTTAAATCGTTAAATGCTGTACCCCAATATCCTAGTACACCAAACAGATTTTCTACTTGAACTGTGTTGCTGCTATGGGATTCTGATTCTAAATGTATTCTGGAAATTTTTGGTCCTATCATGCTTGATTTTGCTTTGAACATCTGCATTAGACATTGTTCCAGGACAGCAATGGTCTCCCGAAGTGTAGGTAATGACGACAGCCATTAATGTCAAGGAACTCCTGAGAGACTAGTGAGATCAATCTGGGGCCTTCACTAGTTTTGGAGATGACACAGTCAGGACTTATGCTCCCCTCTCCAAGTAAAACAACAAATATTCTCCTAGCTAACTCTTATTTTGAGCTTACTGTGTGCCAGGTATTGCGCAAAATTCTTTATGTACGTTATCCTCTTTAATCTTCACCATTACCATATGAGGTAGGTATGTTGTAGGTGAAGAAACTAAGGCTCAGAGTCATTTATGCAGTGGCATATAGCTAGTAATTGGTAGAGCCAAGAGTTAAAGCCAGGCTCTTGGGTCCCAGAACCTGTGTGTTAATCAACATGCTGTGCTGACTTCCCAATGGATCTCAATTGAACACCAGAAAGTGTGCTTGGATTGAGTATGTAGGGGCAAATAATTCCCTTTTTTTTTTTTTTGACATCTAGGAGATCCCAGTATAATGGTATAGATAGATAATCACATAATGATGTTAAAATATGCTGAGTGTTTTGAAAAGGATAAACAACAGTGTCCTTGCTCCCAGGATCTCAGGGGAAAAAATGGCTCATTGCTTGAAGCAAGGAATGAAGCAGAGAAACTGTTAGAAGGCCTCACGAGGAAGTAGTATTTGAAATGGATCTTGCAGAAGGCCAAAGAGACTATGCATTGAGGCAGAGAAGTGAATTCTGACTTAGGAGAGAGAAAATAGCTTGGTGTGGGTGGAGATTCATTCAGCAAATATTTATTTGGCACCTTCTGTGTTCTAGGCATACAGATGTGGTCAAGATAGGCAAAACCTGTACTTTCGTGGAACATGTAGTCTCATGAGAGAGACAAATAAGCAAACACAAATAACTGCAAAGTGTGGTAACTGCTATCAAAGAGTGAGGTAGTTTTCCCTTTTCATGGGATTTTCAGGGAAGATATGTTTGAAAAAGTGCCATTTGAGCTCAAGCCAGTAAGATAAGCTAGTCATGAGAAGGATAGAGAGAAGCCTGATTTTGGCAGAGGCAACAGGTGCAAAGGCCTAGAGGGTAAAAACAAGCTAGTTCTAATTGAAGAACAGAAGATGATCAGTGTACCTGGAGCCTCATGGGCATTGTGGGGCATAGCAGAATATAAGGCTAATGAAAAGCAGGGACTTGTAGGCCGAGGTAAGGTATCTGGATTCCATTTAGAGTGCAGCAAAAAGATATGCGACTCAAGTTTGTCCAGATGATATAAGTCTAGAAGGGAGGATACCTAGAACTAGGCAAGTATCCTGGTCTGACTGGCACACACTAGCTTCTAGGGACACTGGAAAGGATCCAGAGACAGATGACAGGCTCAATCACACAGAATTTGTGAGTCAGCCCTTTCCCGGAAAAGTTCTGAGTAGACCCTTCCTGGCTCTGATTCTTAGCAACCCCATCCTGCTTCAGGAAACATGTGATGTCAAGGTCTGAAAGGAAAGGGCAATTCCTCCCCAGACAGCCTGCTAGAGGTTTGGGTTGGGTTCTTTTTCAGGCTGGGTGGGGCAGGTTTATGGGTGGGCCGCTTGGAAAGATTACTGTAAGATGGGAGTGTGGAATAACTGGAGAAAGCAAATACAAGTCTGGTTTGGACTCCTGTGAATGATGTCTAGTGCCTCAAACTTGAGGGTGTATTAAGCATGAGTTGGAACTTGAACTTTTAAAAATATTCTGAAGCATCAAGATGTTAAAGAACTTCTATGTTGGAAGTGCCAGGACTGCTGAGGAATTCTAAGTTTGTGGATTCAGTGAAAAAGAAAGGTGAGATGAATAAAATACAAATTAACATTGAAATATTTACTGATAAAATGTTTGAAGATGAAAGCTTTTTCCTGTGATGCCAGGTTCTGCTCTTGACCTTTGCCAGGAGGGGGCACAGAAGTTTGAAGCGCTGAGAGTCCAACCTTCCAACCCTTTGTCCACTTGTGGAGTCAGTGTTACAGTTTATTAAAACTCTTTTTTTTTTTTTTTTTTTTTGAGATGGAGTCTCTGTCACCCAGGTTGGAGTGCAGTGGCATACTCACGGCCACCCCAGTGTTGACCTGCTGGGCTCTGGCAATCCTTCCACCTCAACCTTCCGAGTAGCCGGAACTACAGGTGTGCACTACCATGCCCAGCTGATTTTTGATTTATTGTAGAGGTGAGGTCTCGCCAAGTTGCCCAGGCTGGTGTCGAACCCATGGGCTCAGGCAATCCACTCGCCTTGACTTCCCAAAGTGCTGGGGATTACAGGCTGAGCCACTGAGCCTGGCCTGTGCTAAAGCTCCTAATCACGAAGAAGCATACAGCTCTTAGTAGATATTGTAGCAAACAAAATATGTGATCAAAACCTTGTGGAATGTGGTATTTAGGAGGAATCGTGATAAAACAAATGGGTTAAATTGAAAACCATTTCCAGCAAGGAATGGTAAAGATTGAGAGCTAGTGGAAGAATGACCAAAGGAGGAAAAGATGCTCAAAAAGAAATTCTTAAAGTTAGTGAAAGGCAGAAATGCAGATGGCAAAATAGCTGTTTCCACAAGGGGAGGATAGACAAACTTATTTTGTAGTGCCTTGGTCCTGGATTTGAAATGATGGCAGGCCATAGCACCCATTATTGGAGTGTTGCCTCATAGCTGCACCTATATAGTGATGTGACAAACTCTTTCTTAATTCATATATGTCTCAACAATTTTCCAAATTGGCCACCTTTAATAGTTAACTAATGATATTATTGATCTTTTCCCATATACACACAAAATCTACTTTTGAGTTTTTTCTCTGAGCCTAGAGAAAAACAGTGAGAAAGTTTTTCTTTTTAAGAAAAACAAACTTGAGTTCAACCCTTAACTCTACCATACTGTGTGGCTGTGTGTCCTTTGACATTGCTCCTCTGAACCTCAATTTCCTTGTCTGAAAAATGATGATAATAACTATCTCAGAAGACTATTCAGGAATTGAGGATTAAAGAGCTAATGTATGTAAAGCTTGTAGTACACTAGTAAGTGCTCAGTAAATGACAGCTATTATCATCATCTTGAGTTAATTTTTGGGCTGATTATAGCTGTCAGTTTATCTTGAGTAGGTTTAGGAAGAAGATTCAGGCTAGAAGGTAAGAAGCTAATTGCCTGTTCTCGTTCCCTCTTACTTGTGCAGGCATGTGGCATATACGAACCCTGGATTTTCTTCTGAGACCAAATCGCGTAGCATACCAACTAGTCAAAGCCACTGTGGTTTACCGCCATCAACTCCACCTGACTCTCTTCAACCTCTCCTGCCATGTGGAGCCCTGGGTCCAGAAAAGCCCAACCAACCACTTTTTTTCCTTGGGAATAGTTTCCTCGAAGCCTTCCCTGATATCTAAAGCTTGGACAGAAATGGATGTTACTCAGCATGTTCAGCAAAGGCTCAATAACAAGAGACACAGAATCCTACGATTCCGTTTCATGTGTCAGCAGCAAAAAGGTAGTGAGGGTCTTGAGGCCCAGTGGCGCGGTACTTCAGCTTTGGACATTGCCTTTTTGTTACTCTATCTCAATGACACTCATAAAAGTGTCCAGAAGGCTAAATTTCTTCCCAGAGGCCTGGAGGAGTTTATGGAAAGGGAATCACCTCTTCTTGAGCGGAGAACCCGACAAGCAGGCAGTATCGCATCTGAGGTTCCTGGCTCTTCCTGGAAACATAATGAGCCTGAAAATAACCAGTGTTCCCTCCACCCTTTCCGAGTCAGCTTTCGCCAACTGGGCTGGGATCACTGGATCATTGCTCCCCATCTCTACAACCCGAACTACTGTAAGGGAGCTTGCCCTCGGGTGCTGCGCTATGGTCTCAATTCTCCCAATCATGCCATCATTCAGAACCTTGTCAATGAGTTGGTGGACCAGAGTGTCCCTCAACCCTCCTGTGTCCCTTATAAGTATGTTCCTATTAGTGTCCTTCTGATTGAGGCAAATGGGAGTATTTTGTACAAGGAATATGAGGGTATGATTGCCCAGTCTTGCGCATGCCGATGACAGCTAAGGTACAGCTAGCTCAGGTTTCCCAAGAAATTAGAGAAGGGCTTAGAAAAAACCCTCTACCCAATCTGTAGGTTCTGTTCCTTGCCTTAAGTGTCGTTACTTAAGTCTCTCCCCACAATTGTGAGATACTCAGTTTATGAAAACAGATCTGATACCAGTCCCCTAGCATCAGGTAATACAGTTTGACCACTTGTTAGAGCCCTTAATGCTTGGATTAGATGTTCCTTTGGAAATACATCTTCTATTTTTTTCCACTGGGACTTTGTCAAAAGTCACCAGTCCATGGTGGTAGAACTTTAGAAATTGTTCCACTGAGGCCTGACAAAGGTGAGTTCCTCCTAGTGTCCATTTTCTGAAGCTCTAGAAGATTTGTAGTGGAGAAAGCTTGATATAGTCATCTTCTTGGCTCCTGTATCCTAGAAAATGCTAGTACTGAATCAGATAAACTGCCTACTTCTGTGCTTGTATTGCCTTCTAAATCTAAAACTTCTCAGATGAACTAGAAACTTTCCCAGGTAACAGTCTTTATACAAATATTTTTCTGAGCTAGCAGGACTTTTCCTCTCAGTCTCTGAATCTGAGAAAAGTACCTAGAATTCTTTCCTGTCCTAGGGTGAGGGCAGCAGCCTTTAATGAAGCCAATAGGTAAAATTAAGTGTAGATCTGTCTGAGATGGTAATGTACTTTAAAATCTGCATTTATAGTGAAGAACTATCATTGCTAATTAGTATTATGCATGGAGAGGTGACTTGAACAATAGAATTCAGAGTATTTATCTAACACTGAAATCACTGTTAATTATCCCACAGAGAAAGCTTCCTGGTGGCTCATAGGCTAGGAGTTGGCCTGACTGGGGTAAAGGGTAGTAGAAGCTTGTGGGGGCAAAACTTGCCAAGGTTTAGAGCTGGTTTCATTCTGGGCTTGCCTGCTTCATGTGTTCAACTTGACTTTGGGTCTCTGAGGAAGATGGACTTGTCTTTGGGAGATGTGGAACTTTACCTTGAACCAAATGATGCTTGTAGTGTGACTCCTTTCTATTTCTATGCTGTATTTAAATGATAAGACTGTGTTGCAAATAAATTATTATTATTTTGTTGTTGGTGGTGAAGAGAATCTTGATTGTTTTGGGACTTGGGAGATAGTGGGTGGAAGGAATTTATTTCCTTTGTTCTCTTTAGTTATGGCCAGGAATTCAACCCTAATCCCCATGGGACAGGGCTGGATGATCCTAAGAAGTTCTGCTTTCTGCACTGCTAGCCAACTGCTTTCACCAAGGTACCTTTCTGAGGAGGCCCAGTAAGTCTTTTCCCCTGCCCTACGGTTCTTGACTAGACTTATGGCCATTATCAGTGAGATGGGACTGATTTAGAGTGGGTGCATATGTTTGCCAAATCTCTATCTCTTAGTTACCATTATAAATTCATTTTACCACTTGCCTTTCAACAATTGGTTCTAGCTAGATTGAATATCTTGCAAGTCTATAAATATACAAATTGTATTATTTTGCCTGAGAAGCTGTTCCTTTAACATCCCATAGCCCATCTACCTTCTTTCCTGTTTCTTTAGGAACCAGCTCAGACATTTTTCTTCTTTTTTTCCAGTGCCCCCATGATACCCCAGACTCAGCTGGTATCCCCTTGTGTTCACATAGCATTACATATTGTCCTTTAATATGTGCTAGTGTAATTGTCTTTCTTGCAAAAAGATAGAGCTTTTTGGAGCGGTTTTAACTGTACCTTACCCTTTTCTATATTACAAGAGTCTGGCACCTAGTAGATACTTGATGAATACAAACACACAGCAGTGACATTTTGTGTGTGTGTGTGAGGAATGCATTCTTCCTAACACAATATTTCATTGTTAACATATTTCATTAATTTTTCCATGGGAATAAATGTAATATAAGGCACATTTTTTACATAAAATAAGATACTATATTTTAAAAGCATGATTTAAATTACAGTATAATGTGACAGCTATATTCTTGAGTAGGATATTTTGCATAATCATATATGCTGTAAGTTGACCTGGGAGAGGAATTATGGGTTTCTAGTCCAGTCATTTCCCCAGCCTACCTGGGGTAGGCACAAATACCCTACAGACCTGAATATATGAACCTTGGTTACAGGATCAGATCCTAAATTCAGCATCTTGGTTCTTAGGAATTTTCAGAAAGTCATGATCTCTTAACCTTGCGAGACTTTCTGAAATGCCATGGGTTTGCTTGTGTCCCATTGCTCACCACACAGAAAGCCAATCACTAAGACAACAAATATTGCCAGGGAAAAAGTCTTTCTATTCGAGGGATATTATCCAAGGAGAATGGGAGATTTAGTATCAAATTTGTTTCCCTGGCTGATTGAAATTGGGGGGTTGATGCAGTGGGAGTACGTATGTAAAACAAATTAGGGAGGGTTCTGGTATCTCATCGTCCTGTTGCAATGTTTTGATGAGTTTCAGTCCCTTGACTGATGGCTGGTTTCCTGAGAAAGGAACTTAGATTAGGAGAATGTAAGTTTTAAGACTGGAAGGGTAAATTTCTATATGTTCAAAAAAATATATAAAAACACTAAAATATCAGTTCTGTGGGGAAATCAGGTCAGTTTCAAGTTCTGAATACAGCAGAAACTTAATCAGTTTATGAAGGTGCAGGATTAATTGACCCCATTATCCATTAAGCCCTGAGTTATCAGAATACCCAAGGAAAGCACTGATCAGGTGGTTAGTTGAGGCTATTATGGATTTTCTTTTCTTTTTAAGTATTGCTTCAGCTCAGCATTTTTTCTCAAACCCAAAGTGAGAGTTTTGTACCTCAAACCTTCCCCTGAGAGAAGAAGATGTGCTTGGTAGTAGAGAAGGGTGTATGGATGGAGGGATGTTCTACCTGCCTGGGTGGGTAGAAAGAAATGGTTACTTGGTTTGGAGAGGGAAAGTAGGAAGCCAAGTCCACCTTGTCTCAATAATGTCAGCAAGTAGACCAGAACTTCATTCAATGTATGGGTGCAAAAGAAGTACGCATTTAAAGTTGCTTCTGATCCTGGAGCTCTTTTGCAATTACCTAGGATAGTATATTACAACTAATTCTGGCCAAAGTTGGAAAGCAGGCAAAATATATCTTCAGTTACATAAAATATTTGTGTGCCTAATCTTATGAGAATAAATTTCATCTCTTTAATTCTCACAAAAGCATTTTGAAGTGGGAGATATTAGTCCCATTAAAAAAAAACCTGCTTTATTGAGATTTTCATATATCATAGAAACCATTGTTTTAGGTACACAATTTAGTGGGTTTTAGTATACAGGGGGGACCCCGAAACCAGAATTTATTTTAAAAATTTATTCTTACATCTTTAAACTTCTGTCACCCTCAAATTACTCTCTGTTTGATACAATATACCTATCAAGATGTTTTTTCCACAAGTTTTTTAACTTGTCAATTTTGATGCCTTTTAGTGTTTCTGCCATTTTTTGTTTCACCTCTTCCATCTTGGCAAAATGTTTCCCTTTGAGGACTTTTTTCATCCAGGGAAACACAAAAAAAAGTCACTCAAGGCAAGATCGGGTAAATAGGGAGAATTGGGTATGGTGGTCATGCTGTTTTTGGTCAAAACCTGCTGAACACTAAGCACAGTGTGGGCTGGTTTTTCGTATAAATCATTCATCAAATGCCTTGAAAGAATCTCAAAAAAATTCACTGAGGTCAAACACATTGTCTCACAACAGTGTTAGTTGATGTACTAATGCTGAAGGGTTCCTAGGACACTTACCTAACAGGAGAAACCTGTACTACAAGAGGCCTTTCCTCCAAAAATTAATTCTGGTTTTTTTTGGGGTCCCCCTCCTTGTATTCATAGACTTGTGAAAACACCAGTACAATCTAATTTTACCACAGAAAAAAACACTGTGCCCATTGTCAATTCCCATTCCTACATTCCATACTATCGGCTCCTGACAACCCTAATCTACTTTCTTTTTCTCTGAATTAGATATTTATTTAAATCATATCCTGTCTGGCTTTTTGTAACTGGCTTCTTCACCTTATAATGTTTTCAAGGTTCACCTGTGTTGTAGCACGTATCAGTAATTCACTTCTTTTTATTGCTGAATACTATCCTATTGTAGGATACACCAAATTTTGTTTATCCCTTCATCAATTTTATGGACATTTGAGTTGTCTCTACTTTTTCACTGTTGTGAATAATATCATGAATGCTCATGGGAAGTTTTTGTGTAGACATATGTTTTCAATCCTCTTGTGTATATACCTAGGCATAGAAATACTGGATCATATGGAAACTCTATAGTCAACATTTTGAGGAACTGCCAAACTATTTTCTTTTTTTAAAATATATTGAGTATTTTTTACATTTTATTTTAGAGTTGTGGGGTACATGTAAGGATTTACTCATAAATAAATTGCATGCAGGTGACTTTTGGGCTTCTAGCAGGTCTTGTCTCTTCCCTGATAGTGGACCTAGTACCAAGTCTGCCAAGCTACTTTCTAAAGCGGCTGCACCATTTAAAACTCCATCAACGTATGAGTGTTCCAATATCTCTACATTCTCACCACCGCTCATTATAGTCTTTGTTTTATATTTTAGCCGTACTAGTAGAAGTGGTATTTCATTGTGGTTTGGGTTTGCCTAATAACTAACGATGCTGAGCATATTTTCATGCATTTATTGGTAACTGACCCATCTTCTTTGAACGAATATCTATTAAAATTCGTTGCCCAGTTTATAACTGTGTTGTCTCTTGTTGAGTTGTAAAAGTTCTTTGTGTATTTTGGATATTAGTCATTTATCAGATGTATGATTTGCAAATATTTTTTTCTGATTCTGTGGGTTATCTTTTAGTTTTATTGATTATGTTCTCGGACACACAAAAGTTTTTAATTTGGAAGAAGTCTAATTTTTTTTTTTTTTTTTTTGAGTTGGAGTCTCACTCTGTCACCCAGACTGGAGTGCGGTGGTTGCTCCTGACCATCGCAGCCTTGACCTGCTGGGCTCCGGCGATCCTTCCGCCTCA